AAACGTTGGTGGTGGTGGCGGCTGCGTCGGGTATCCGGCCGGGGCAGTAGTCGGCGGTGATTCGAACGATGGTGAGACGAACGAGCGAGCGTGAGAGAGAGAAAGAGAGTGTGTGAGAGAGTGAGTGTGTGTGTGTGAGAGAGAGAGAGAGAGAGAGAGAGAACGAGAAAAACGGATGGAATGAAAAGGCAGTCAGGTTAGCCGTGCGACGGTGGGAGAGGCCAGGGACGAGGCAAGGCAAGCGATTTAGCTGCTGCTGGTTCGGCGAGCCCACGAGTTGGAGTGCCGTGAGAGTAGCCGAGGTCCTGTTGGCCGTGCCTGCAGCGGGAGAGGCGTCATGAAAGCGCGCCAGTTGACCGAGTGCACCTCAGCTCGGACGAAATCGCGTATTTGTCGTCGTTGAAGCTACCTTGCCTCTCGATTTCTGCTTTCGTGGCAAGGATTCGACTCGTGGGCCTGCTGCTCCTGGCTGTCACGAGTTCCCTTCGCTCCGTGTAGTCTCGTTTCACAGTGCGAAATCTCGTTTTGCTGGTTGCTAGTTCGTTTTCACGCAGCAAGAATCCGGGATACGGCGACGGATGTGTGTCGGTCGACGATGAAACGTGTTCGATTTCGTTATTGCCAAGTCGTGTATACTCGTTTCGCAGAGAATTTCACCGTTTAACAGTGTGTGGTGCGTGTTGTGCGCAACGGATTGATCACGTATGTTTTGGTTTACCTCTGACATCGACGCCCGTCAAGTTGGTGAAGCAGGACAACAGGTTCCTGCCCGACAAAGAAAAGAGGACGTACGTGCGATGGTTTCCGCGGTTTTCTCGTTTTCGTACGATATTCGTTGGATACCTATATCGAACAGTAGTTGTTATTGACATATTGATTTTGTTGGTACGGTACGCTGGTGTTCTTTGACACGTCGTGAATCGAGTTGAATCGGAAAAAATATGAAAACTCGTTTATATCAATCGGCAGACACGCCTATATCGGACGAAAGTATAAAACGTTCTTCGAGTTTCACATTTGATAACCACTCGACACCGTTCCCTAGCTGGCGTCTTTCACCTTGACGTTGAAACATCGAACGTACTGCCACGTTTCGGCTGATATTCTCATCATCGACCGGAATCGAGAGTGACAACCGTATGAAATTAACCAAACGATTTTGATTCGTTGTTCCAACGATCGTATCTTCGATTGCAGCGACATACGGGGAAACGTTTCCCTTCGAATTTCGAAAAAATTCCCATTTTTCATACGTCTTAACTTAATTAATTTCATTTGGAAATAGGATTCGATTCGAAATAGAAAAAGTGCGCGATAAGGAGAGAAACGAAGTCACGCTGGACTGGCTCGAAGATCGATTCAAATTCATTCGGCGTTCTGTGACGTTCGTTATTTACATAATTGTACGACGTTAACGCAAGCTGTTTGGTAGACGAGAAGGGAAACGCGATAGCAAAAACAAGCTAAATAATTTTAGCGATTCATATTTTCATATCGTTAGCATTTTCTTTTCACAAAGTGAAATTACCTCGTCGTACATTCCATTTACTTTTAAAAGAAAGTATTCGATAGAAGAAAGCGTAAAAATAAACATGCTGATTTAATAAAAATTCATAATCGAATAATAGCTTTTGTCGTAAGAAAAAGGAAAGAAAAAGGAAAGAAAAAGGAAAGAAAAAGGAGAAAGAGAGGAAGGAAAATATCAAAGTAGATTACAGGATATCGGAGAAAATTCGTTCGTTTCGAGCGACTAGATTGCTAGAGAATATCGAGACAATCTCGCGATTAATAACGGCGACACCTCAGATTTTGTAACGCTCGGTTCGTTACGTTGTCGTTGTCTCGGATGCAGAGGGTAGCATCCCTCCGGGTCGTTATTCCATTGCACGCGCCGAAGGGCTCGGAACGAGAAGCAATAGGAGCGCGACGAGCAAGAAGAGGAGGAAGAAGAGCAGGAGCAGGAGGAGGAGGAGGAGCAGGAGGAGGAGGAGGAGAAGGAGGAGAAGGAGGAGAAGGAGGAAGAGGAGGAGGAGCAGGAGAAGGAGGAAGAGGAGAAGAAGGATGAGGCTGAGTGTTATCTAGTTGGAACTGTTTCACGTTGCACGTTTCTCGAAGAGAAAAGATGATAGTGCACGATCTCGTTATCGAACGTTACATGCCTGTCGTCGACGAACGCATTTATCCGCGTGGTTCGTGCTAATTCGATCGGTCGTTTGATCGAAACGGCATGTCGTTGGTGCGATCGTGGCTCACCGATTTTCTAACTTGACGTTTCGTTCTCTTGGATTTGTAAACGAATCCTACAACTTGCCGAAGTAGGAAGGACAGAGAGGTCGTTGCTGGTTAATCCGAAGTTATCTTATATAGCGCATAGAGAACCGCGCAACGATCGTTGTAAAGCGAACGGTAGAAAATGTATGGGAAGTAGCGGAGGCAAGAGGCAAGAGGCAAGAGGCAAGAGGCAAGAGGCAAGAGCCAAGAGACAAGAAAGCCAAGAGGCACGCATTCGTGACACACGGCGACACGTGGTTATCGTGTACCGTTTGCCTACCTATAGCGTGTACAGCGAGCTAGCCGGAACAACGACAGAGGGGCGAGGGCAGAAGGAGAGGAGCGTTCCGGTCAGCCAAACTCGAGTCAGCTTGCCGATGGATATGGCAGCTGTCGTTCCCCTGGTTGTTTCTCCACGATTCCATCTCGCTCGACAAGCCTATCGTCGGCATCGTGCTACCCGCGAATCGAGCGAACAGGTATCGTCGCAAGGTGTTGTCCAGGCCGGGATACGCGACTCCTCGTGATAGCAGGTACGCGGCTTGCGAATCGCGGCAATCCACAGTGCGTGATCGATCGATCGACAGACACCACACGAGCGTTCCTCGCGCGCATTCTTAGTGACGGCCAAAGTGTTTGCCGACAGTGTGCGTGATATCGTGAGTTTCGGTGAATCGATCGTCGCGTGCAAGTAGGCCAGAGGAGAAGAGAAAGGGGGAGAATACCGTCGATCGAAAGAAGAAAGCTTCGAACTGCGAACAGAAGATCGAGAATCGCGCGTAATTCTATATATCTTGATAACCGTGCTGTATGATTTCGTCAAGGATGAAGGACGTGGCCGTCGATTCTCCGCGACCGATTTCCAGGCTTCGCGGCAACCTTCTTCTGCTTCTGACGTTACTCGCAGAGGTGAGTAGAATGGGTAAAATTGGGGTTGGGTGATCGTACGAATCTAGGACGTGTCGTTCGAACGCCTTTCTGTCACAGAATCCGCGCGTACGCAACAGTCTTGTATGTACACGAGATTGAAGTTCTTCGGAAGCGTAAACTTTTAGTCCGATTCCTCGACGAAGCAACTGTCTCGTGACTGTCGCAGCCACGGAAACTGTACTTTTCCATCTTTTCCAATTTTCACGTTGCTATTCGTTGTACCGATCTGCGATGAATCGTTTTTGAAATTTTTTTCTCTTCTCTTTGAAAGTATATTCTATGGGTAAAATTAGTCTTTAGAACGATCGAAATTGTTCTTATTTTTTATCTATAATTTAAAGCTACCTTTGGAACGTATACATAGAAGCAGTATACACGTAAGGCCTCCCTCGCCATCGAAGTAATAATTCTACGAGTCATCGATAGTAATAGGTTCTTTCTGACCGGATGGAATAGTTAGATTCTGATGGAAATTTACAAATTACCAGTTATTCGATTACGTTGTTCGACGTTTCTTAAAGTATAGAAGTAAACGATCGATGAAAAATTGTGAAATTTATCCGAAAATGATCCGGATTTCTGTTATATTTGCTATAAATTCTTCTTTTCTAATTGCTAATCATTGTATCGATTCAATCGTCGATATCGAACTGTTAGCTTACTGTTATCTAATTCCCAATGAAGTAGGTCCACGGCCTAAATATCGAGGTTTATCGGTATAACGAATCATTTAAATACGATAAATGATCGTGATCTCTGCAAAATACCTACTTGCGTTAAAGTACGCAACTACGAATGTAGATTTTGCACATGAGTACGTGTATGTGTATATAGAATTTCGAAATTAGTTTCGAAGTCTACGGAGTTTAAGAGTAGGCCGATTTTGGTTATAAAGAGTAAAGGGTGAAACTGCTTGCGTTTAACGTCGACGACCCCTCCTCGTCCAACGCAAACAAGTTTATCTTAATAATATGTATCACGAATATAATAACAAGAACAAGAACAACAACGCCAACGATAATAGTAATAATAATAATAATAATAAATATTCTCAGCTGTTGTTATTATAATTCAGTAGCGCGTGCGTATTACTTAATTTCTTCAAGTTGTTTTCTCGTTCATTTCACTAGTTGTCTCGTATAATATCTTCTCGCTGCTTCGGACAAGCTAACCATAGCAGTTATAGTCCGAATCGTTTTGTCGTTTGTCATTTTTTTTTTTTTTAAGTTTGTTATATGTTTTGTTCGATCGTATCTATCCTTGTTGGATCTAAATCGCGCGTTATTTTCTCACGCCCTTTCGTTATTACATCGAAGTATTTGCAATACGCAACAAATTTGATTATTCTGCGCGAACGTTGCAGACGTTGAATTTTAAGACGTCGAAGTTTAAGTGCATTCGTAGAAGGTTTGTTCGCGGCCAAGCGTTTCGATACTTTCGCGAGCTACCGTAGATGGACGCGTGCATCGCGTTTCAGAAGAGAATAATATTTCTGTTATCAAATATTTTCGATCAAATATTTTCCCATCGTAGAGAATAAAATTAGCAGCGGATTTGTCGGTTGAAAAGTTGCCCAACTCGATAGTAGATTTCACGAGTTTCGCGATAGATGCGAATCGGATCTCGTCTCGAGCTGTGGTCAGCGATCGGTGAAGGGGAACACACGGTCGGTATCTAGTCTTCTTTTGCTCGGCTGATTCGTGTCTCCGGGTTGCGAAACTCGGTTGACTTTCCCAACGTGAGAGAACGTCGCCTCGTATCCGGTGCGATGTCCACCGACCTTTGATTTTCAATGATCCGTTCGACCGCGCGAACGTTGTTCGTGCAAACGTTGATGCGCGCGTTTCAACGTCTCGACACGCTGGATTTCCGTCGGTTTTGAAACGTTTCGTATCGCGGAAGTTGCGAATTGCGAAATTTCCACCGGAATAATTTTGCGTTTGCCGCGAGAATTTTGCTTAGCGATTTTATTGAATGCTTCTTGTGCAAACTCGTGGCTCCCATATCCAGGCATATTGCTTTCGACCGCTCGCTTGTATCGATGTAATTGCCATTCGTATCCGATCTTATCCGGTGGCATTCGATGTTTTAGAGTTTGATAAGGCTGCGGGTTTCGTTTATGGTTTGACTAAGCGAGTTCCGCGAGTTGTTCGGTTTAAAAAGATTGAGATAAGAATAGGAAAGCGCGTGGCTCTTCGAGGGCTTGTTATATGATTATACTTTTTTTCATTTATTTATAGTTGCGTCAATTAGTGGCTTTCAGTCATTAACGACACGAAAGAATGAGAAGTTACGATTACATATTACCGTATAATTTAATTGCATTTTACGTAATTTGCTAGTTCTTGTATTCGTTTAACTCGCTTTTTTTTGTATTAAATCGTTGTTTATAAGTGGAATATTTCTGCTACGAAGGAAACGCACCGAAAGTAGTTTTTACTTTGTCATAAGACGAAATAGATTGCTTTCAACTAATTTCTATTTTATTTGTCTCCTTTAAGCAAATAACAAATGCCTTGTAATTAAATTGTAATTAAAGTTTACAGCTGTAATTAAACAATTTGCCGTCATTCTACCCAATTGTATTTATTTGAGAATTGTAACAACGAGCTTGGGTTCGAGGCGACAATCAGTCGCCGAACGTAGCCGCCGTCAACGGGACGAACGCTCCGTCCAACAAAAGTATGGAGTAATAATAATAGCCCTCGTTAAAAGAAATACCCGTACTCGACGGTACGTTACTCGACGGTAAACATTCCAACGGTTCCTTCGGGCAAAATGATTACCAGATGTCGATGTACCTACACAGCACAAGTCCAGCTAACCCGTGGACCCGCTATTAACCTCGGGATTTTGTGGATCGAGGTTCTTCAAACGGACAAGCAGTCTTTGTCCCAAATCGACCAATTAACAGCAGCGTCGATTTCCCTCGCTTCCCGAACGGAGACATCTCTCCGCGAATCCGAGGATTTCGTGTTCTTAGACACACTCCGTCATAGTTTTCCTCGACAGCGTCACCGTGACGGAAAGTCTCTCTGGCTGGTGTACGAGCTCTTGGACTGGTTAACTAACGTCTTGCTATCAATTCCAGCATAGACTTCGACGAAGGAATAAGCCTGCTAACCCGTTGACCGCGGATTCGTTGTTGGACCTAGGTGTAGGACCGAGATTAGCTTCTCGAGTGTCTGATTACCGCGGTTACTTGTCAAATTCTGTAGTAGTGATATTTGCACTAGTCGATGTCTTCTCGATTGCATAGCAATCATGTGTAGTTCAAACGAGGATTCGTTTCACGCCCCTGACCCTAATCATAATGAGAACTCGGCATATATATCTCAGTTGTAAACGATATAACCGAATTATCTTCGAACGTAATATTTGTTTCAATATCGTATATGTGTACACATTGTGTCACATTGATCAAACGAACAACGAACATCGAACAAACGAACAAACGAACAGACGAACAAACGAACAAACGAACAGACGAACAGACGAACAGACGAACAGACAAACAGACGAACAAACGAACAAATAATATTTGTTCTTAGAATCGTTTTAATTTTCATTATTTTTCCATTGTACGTGTCTGAATTTGCATGCACGACGCGACGCCTGTGATAATGTACGTACACGTAAGACTGTAAAGAAATTGGTATTTCTGACGCAGTTCGTATAGTAGTAATCGAAATTTACTCGAAGATATCGGGATATCAACGTCGGAAAACTTTTATTCGGGTACCTTAAATATCTCGAATGGTCATTTTTATCGACTTATCCTTTACGTATACGTATCTGTTATTATCGATAATAGGGAAAATTTGATCTAGAAGGGTAAATACGATGGTGAACGTGACATCTTTTTCAAAGTCATGCGTTTCGAGATTTCAAGCTCATCGATGTTTTTTTAAACCGGACTATACATATAGTCTTATCACGACGGCGTTATATCGTAGCTAAGGTTAAGACCGATTCAAAGATTTATTTATAATACCGTGATATCCACGTGACGTTGAATACGAGGAACTCGGAAACGTTTGATAATAGCTGCGAATAATTCGATGACTACGATAGGCAGATCGGGGAAGGAAAATTTATTTCAACAAACGTTCGAAACGATCATCGTCCACTTTGATTGTCCGCGTTTCCGTGAACGATCAACCCACGACTTCGTTCATGTAACTTGCAGTTTTAACGCGTTCTCGAATATTTTCAAACGTTGTAGAAATATCACGATAAACTGTTTGTTCGATTACGCCCCTCGCAAACACACTGAAAGTTGTAAGATCGGGCAAACGCGCAGCCTATCGAATAACAGACCGATCCGACGTTCTCCGAGTTTCGAACATTTTGGTATCGAAGATCGCGTGAATATCATCTTGTTACGGACTTGTCTTAACCTCGGCTATATCTATATAATCTATATACGTAGACACGATGATAACAGTATACAGGCTGGTATTTAAAGGCTTAAAAAAATCATCGAAAAATCATCATTTGAAATATCGAAAAATATGACTTTGAGGATAATTTCACGATTACTATCGTATTTGCGATGTTAATCGAATGCAATGTCAAATAATGCTCTTCCTCTGACATTTTTTGTCATGTACAGCTGTGTGCATACATACATACACGTACATGCATGTATACATATTAAGGCATCGGCAGTACCTAGGGATCTATACATACGTTCGTTAAATTATTCTTAATACCTCGAGACATTGCACGAGTAAAGAGTTCTGTGAAGTATATTTCTTGGAATTATTTTCCTGCGATTAGCAAATAATATATATATATATATATATATATATATATATATATACATATATAGAAAAGTAGAAAAATGCAAGATAACATTGTGCAAACGCTTTTATTTATCGATTAACGAGTACCGTGAAATCGTAGAATATCGTTGGAATAAATGAAAGTTCAAGCACGAAGGATTACTAGGTGTTTCACGGTTTATCGACTAAAGG